TTAATTTCATTCACATGTGTTTCATAAACACATAATCCTTTATGGATTACAATCCACCATCAAAATTATACATTTAATTATTCCAGCTGCTGTGAGAATATGCTATAAACGATCCATCACCTGCAGCATCCTCACATGCGATAGTCTAGTAGCCAGGACAACTTCTTTATGTTTACAGACGTGACGTAATGACGCAGTGCCATGCTCGAATTTCCCGTGAAAACCTACCCATACCACTCAAATTAGAAAACATTATTATAAGATAACCGTTGTGAATCGGGCCAAAGTAAGGCGATAGTTTTGAGCACTGGCTGGTTATGTACTTGCTCAAATATTGATTTCTGATCGTTTTTAACCAAAAACAAAGTTATGGACTGCAGCTTTAAATTATTATTATTAAATATATTTAATATCTAAATGTATATACAATACTGTTCAAAGGTTTGGGGTTGATAAGATTTATTTTGTTTTTGAAAGAAGACTCTTATGCTCACCAAAGTTACACAGAAAAAAAGCACAAAAGCTGTCAGTGGGGCGTAACCTTTTCAAAAGGTACACTTTTATACCTTTAAGGTACCAATATGGACCCTTTAGGTACAAATGCGTAGGTACTGCCCCAGTGACAGCTTTTTGAACCTTTTTTTCTGAGAGTGCGTATTTATTTGATCACATGATCGCATGATCAAATTAAACACTTATAAATTATTGCAAATTTTATTTGATCATGCGATCATGTGATCAAATAAATATGCACTCTCAGAAAATCCCAAACATTTTTGGGAGATTCTGTAATCCCAAACATTTAAACGGTGGTATAAATAATTCCCACACACCTTATATGCTGGATAGATGCCCTCAGTCACAGCAAATATGAGCTGAATATTGTTATCCTGCAGAACCCTAGATACATGGCCCACTGATGGGTAATCCTGTAGGACAAATTAAAATTATTTTATGTCTTCACATACAAACTATACCACTTAAACTGCTTTTTTTTTGGCATCCATCTACAACAGAAAACACAAAGAATGTTCATCATTAAATGTGCAATACTCACATAGGCTCTTCCATTATAGGAACCTTGATCACTGAGATGACACTGTCCATTATGTGGCTGAAAGACACCACCTAGTCGTCCATCTCCTGCCATGTGGAAAGTATCATCAGATGTGTAAACCAGAATCCGTGTCACATCACCCCATCTGATCTTATCCTGTGGGGAGGAATGGAAAAATAAACCTTTTTTATGTAGCTACTATGGTGAGTTGTGGCTGAAATTATCGGTTCGAATCTGATTCTTTACATGCACCATATACTACACAGCGTTAACATGCAGTTTTCACCTTACAGACCGCAGCCTGCATAATGGCATCCAGACCAGCCTCAGGAGCGTCCAGGTTGCCAGAGATATTCTGTTTGCTAACTTCTCGTTCAAACTCCCTGGCATCGTAAGTCAGGGGCAGGACATTCTTAAAACTGAAAGCTGGTTGGCAGGTATCTATGCGATTGGGGCAGGGGTTCTGACGTCTTGCCTTCACCTGACTGACATACGGCAACATCTCCTTATCAACAAAAGACCCGAAACCTGAAAGGAGGAGGAAAGGCTTCGGATGAATGACAGTAATACAGCTCTAATTCTTTACAATTGCAGTTCAAATAGTTCTATTTTAATTTTATTAAAATGTTATATCTTTTTATATTTTTATGTTAGTATTTCAAGTTAGCATATTGTCTCACCGATCCGGACAGTGTCTGTGATGGCTCTCAGCTTCTTTAGGATTTTCTGCCCCAGGGTTTTGATTTGTTCCAGATCATCTTTCATGGAATAGCTCAGATCCATCAGGTAGTACAGATCTATAGGGTAACCCTTAGCCCTCTTAAACTCAACTGTGAATTCATGTGGAACTCCTGCACATTTAAAAGGAACAATCAGAAGAAACGAGTTAAAGACTGCAGAAGCACGGTTGTTTTTTTATATAGTTTGTGCTAGTTGTCTTGTGTGGCCAATTTGTATTATTTTTATGTGTAAGCTACATATGACTGTACATCTTTGCTGCATAATAATACATCTGCATTCTAAAGTGTATAATTACACTAAAGTGTAAATGCTTTGCAAATGGCTTTAAGCTTATATTCCAATATGTTGCTGCATGCTGTTATGTGTCTGAGCCGAAGTCTTAATCTCACCAACTCTGAGTGTGATGTTGATATTCTGAGGTTTGAGTTGGACCACATTTTCACGATCGCTGCTGAGGTCACTGTTCTTCACATAGGTCAAGGGATGTTTTCCAGGATTGATCACATGATCCTCTTTACATCTCCTGGCCTTCAGAGCCTCGGGAGAATCACATCGCCGTTCATTTGACTCACCTGATTTCAGGAAGTCCTGCATTACAAGGAAATTTGCATAACAAGCACAATCATTTAATAAATAAATACAATAATATTATTATTATGACTACTCTGAAAAAATAGGTGTAGAAAGAATTCACACATATATTGCTAGTAAATTTCATAATCAAAGAAATGGCAAGTAAAACACTGAATTAAACATAACATTTTGAAGTAGAAAAACTGAAATGGCATTTTGTTGTAAAACGTACTCCAATAACCTTTTGAATAATCTTTTATTTACAGCTTCAAAGAAATATATTTTTTATAGTTTACAAAGTGATTCACAGTTGCATTTTTAATTTGTCATGCACATTTCTTGTCTTTTTCTTTATTTTGTAACTTCATATGGTAACATCTAAATTAACTTCAAATATTATAATAGCACTTATTAACTGAATCAACCTACACCAAGTCATATTAAGGTAGAAATAATGATTTAAGCTCACAACTGTTTTTACTTTTACTATTTAGGAGGGAGGCATAATTTTTGTTAAAATGTAATAATTGATTTTTATTATTATTTTTATTATCAAATTGCTGATTCTTTTTTTCCCCCATATATCCATGTTTAGAAATGTGATAATTGTCTATTTGATTGTTTTATTGATATATTGATTTTAAAAATACAGAAATGGTAAATTTATATAATACAAGGTAGCCTAATTGCAAACAATGTTTAACAATCCATTTTCTTCTGAAGTCTTCCGAAATTAACTAAAATACTTTGAGCGTACTCTATTTTAACATTAAAAAGCAGGAAATAGTAGGCGACATGTTCACAACAGATCATCTACAATAGACTGCATATAGTGTTGTAACACTGCCTACATTGCTTAGTTTAGGAAACAGACTATGCCATTAAGGTCACCAAGTGAGGAAAGTGATCAAATGTATGAGCATGAATTGCTGAAGAAGCAGCTGATTAATTTGCACGCAAAGAAAAACATGCTCAGCCACAGGTACCACAGCAGGAAAAGGGCACGCATTGCAAAGAGCAACCTTAAAAAAATTTGTCAGGATTAAACGTATAATGGTTGCTTTGTTTCTCAGCTTTCTCTTTTCTCAGTTCTCTCAGGCTGACAAATTTGTATGTGCAAGATACATATGACTGTGCATCTTTGCTGTATAATGTTACATCTGCATACTAAGGTGTATAATTACACTGAAGTGTAAATGCTCTGCACATGGCTTTAAGCTTATGTTCCAATATGTTGCAACATGCTGCTGTATGTCTGAGCAGAAGTCTTATGCTCACCAACTCTGAGTTTAATGTTGATATTTTGAGGTCTGAGTTGGACCACATTTTCATGATCGCTGCTGAGGTCACTGTTCTTCACATAGGTCAAGGGATGTTTTCCAGGATTGATCACATGATCCTCTTTACATCTCCTGGCCTTCAGAGCCTCGGGAGAATCACATCGCCGTTCATTTGACTCACCTGATTTCAGGAAGTCCTGCAATACAAGGAAATTTGCATTACAAGCACAATCATTTAATAAATAAATACAATAATATTATTATTATGACTACTCTGAAAAAATAGGTGTAGAAAAAATTCACACATATATTGCTAGTAAATTTCATAATCAAAGAAATGGCAAGTAAAACACTGAATTAAACAACATTTTGAAGTAGAAAAACTGAAATGGCATTTTGTTGTAAAACGTACTCCAATAACCTTTTGAATAATCTTTTATTTACAGCTTCAAAGAAATATATTTTTTATAGTTTACAAAGTGATTCACAATTGCATTTTTAATTTGTCATGCACATTTCTTGTCTTTTTCTTTATTTTGTAACTTCATATGGTAACATCTAAATTAACTTCAAATATTATAATAGCACTTATTAACTGAATCAACCTACACCAAGTCATATTAAGGGTCAAATTAGGTAGAAATAATGATTTAAGCTCAACTGTTTTTACTTTTACTATTTAGGAGGGAGGCGTAATTTTTGTTAAAATGTAATAATTGATTTTTATTATTATTATTATTATCAAATTGCTGATTCTTTTTCCCCCCCATTTATCCATGTTTAGAAATGTGATAATTGTCTATTTGATTATTTTATTGATATATTGATTTTAAAAATGCACAAATGGTAAATTTATATAATACAAGGTAGCCTAATTGCAAACAATGTTTAACAATCCATTTTCTTCTGAAGTCTTCCGAAATTAACTAAAATACTTTGAGCGTACTCTATTTTAAACATTAAAAAGCAGGAAATAGTAGGCGACACGTTCACAACAGATCATCTACAATAGACTGCATATAGTGTTGTAACACTGCCTACATTGCTTAGTTTAGGAAACAGACTATGCCATTAAGGTCACCAAGTGAGGAAAGTGATCAAATGTATGAGCATGAATTGCTGAAGAAGCAGCTGATTAATTTGCACGCAAAGAAAAACATGCTCAGCCACAGGTACCACAGCAGGAAAAGGGCACGCATTGCAAAGAGCAACCTTAAAAAAAATTGTCAGGATTAAACGTATAATGGTTGCTTTGTTTCTCAGCATTCTCTTTTCTCAGTTCTCTCAGGCTGACAAAGACTGACATCTTCTCTTTCCTGATCTCGGGAAACTGATTCTTGCAGCAGGTTCAATTAAACTACAAATTGATTAATTTACCGTACTTACCGTCTGTGTGCACCACGCACATCCAGGACTCCTTATACATTCAGAACACGAAGAGTGAGATTGGCAAAGTGGTTCCTGCCCTAAAATGCACATATACAGATCATTTCAAATAAAAACGCATCAAAGATTGGTTTTACTTTTTAAAAAGGCATGGATGTGATTAAAGAGACCAAGTGCATTACCAAGTATAAACCTCTGTTCCAAACAGTAAAAGAGAACCGGCAAAGCTATCAAAACAGCCTTCATCTGCAGAGAAAAGAGAGATTTATTATACTTCAGAGGTTACAATGACAAAAGCTTCATTTTGAGCTCATTTGATTAACATTTCCTAATTTCTAAAGCATTTCTAATATGAAATGTACCTGTACTAATATTGTATTTCCATGATACCATCCATTTACTAAAAGCACAAAAAAAGTTCTTATTAAACACTTATGTTTTCATATTTACATGACTTTTAATCAAAACAAACTTCTTTCAATGTTTCTTTTTACACAAATTATGTTTCTCTATCAGTAAATTTTTTTAACTGTCATGTTCTCTGGGACCTGAAAAAAATCACATTGAGCCTTATTTTTAATACTTCTGATCTGATGTTCTCATTTTATATTTTACAATAGCTCTTTTGTTACCAAAAACAAACAAACAGAATTTCTACACTTGCGTGACAAACTACACCATATAACAGGCACAAGAAATAAAGAGGAAATATATATAAAAGCACCACTGCACTTCCACCAGACTGCGTACTGTTCTTCTTATGCATGAGAACATACTCAACACCAGAAACCTGACAATGAGTCAGGTGTTACAAGATGGAAGTTTGCAATCCATCTGAAAGTAAGGCGGCAGACAGACAAAATACAAAAGCACAGAATGTCTCTTTGGTAATTGTCGTTCACTATTTAACAAGCACAGAGTCATAGACCGGGTGAGAGACAATAAATGCAAGGGTGACAACACACATTCTTGCATTCTCGCTAAGTAGGACTCACAAAGTAAGAGAGGTGCAACCGCTGTTTGATTTCAAATAGCGAGTGAAAAGAACATTCTCACATTTTTAGGTGTGGGTTGGCCCCGTTTCAGCAACGGAAACATTCAGAGAACAAACAGACAGTATGAGTTACTGCACCTGATGGTGTCTCATTTCATAATTTAGTAAAGCAAGCAGTATGTAGCAATGTTGGGGGTTACGCATTACAAGTAACGCGAGTTATGTAATCAGATTACTTTTTTCAAGTAACTAGTAAAGTAACGCATTACTTTTTAATTTACAAGAAGATATCTGAGTTACTTTTTTTTCCCATTTATTGATTGAAAGCTCTCCTGTCCCCTTGTTGTGAGAAATCGGGAGTAAGATGTTACTTTAGTTCTAGAATAAGTGTGAACATGCATTAATTCATCTCAAAATTAATAAAAACAGTTAAAAGCAACTCAGAATATGACTCAAAGCTGCAATAATTAAATATGTTAAATAATACAAATATCCTTTATGTATTTAATCCCATTTATTTGCTGTTGACCTTCAGTGATCCAGTTCAACCATACTAATAAGCAAAAATTACACAAGATAAACTAATATTTCTTCTTCTTTTTTATTGCTGAAGAGTGTTGAACTTTCTTCTTCTGTGTTCTACTGTACAGACATGAATTTGCATTTCCTTCAGCCTGAGGCTTTTGCTGTGAAAGGGCTTTTATATTTGCCAAAAATAGAACTTTTTATATTAAAAGCAAACAAGCAAGCCCAGCCCAGATTTAAAAAGTAACGCAAAAGTAACGTAACGCATTACTTTCAATAAAAGTACTTTCGTAAAAGTAACTAAGTACCGTAATTAGTTACTTTTTTAGGAAGTAACGCAATATTGTAATGCATTAAGTAACTTTCCCCAACACTGGTATGTAGTATGTAAAATAATAAAGAAATCAGAACTGCTAGAATAAAGTTTGTTACAATAACCTAATACATCCTTAATTAATCATAGAAAGAGAAGTTTGGCAGTAAGTTTTAACAATATGTGAGTTCATATGTATTTTGTTGGTTTTCTAATTAGAAAACCTTTCAACTGTTTTGGGGTACAGGTTAGAAGGGGAAAAAAGCCCTATCCACATTTAATAAACATAATATACCGTCTACTGTATGATGGCACTATGACTAATCGATTCAACAAAAACAATATTAACGTCTAGGTACCCTACAGGAAATTGCATATTAAGTTCATCACGTACACACACAATATTTTCATATTATTATATGGTAGAGTTAGCCTAATATGTCATTACTAAGTCTTTAACCCTTTGAAAAACTGAAAAGGCCAAATTTCATGTTAACTATGGCTATGTATTTAATTAATTTTCTACTTATTTATTGGCTACCAATAGCCTATACTATTTATTTGTTTTACTTCATTTATTAATGTATTTTCTTTCTTAAAAAGAAAGTGGTACACCCAAGCAGTAATTCAATTTTAGTCATCACCACAAGTTTCAGCCTAACAGCACCACAGAAATTAGCTTTTCTTGCAAATTAAAAATGTACTTTACAAACGGTTAGAAGCTAAAGCTGCCAAGTATTAACAACACCTAACCGTTTATATTTAGTTCAAATTCAACACATCGGAATTGATTATTTTTTAATCATTTGAATCGAGTCTCTTACCATAAAAGGAAGATGTCGTGCGGAGCGTGTGAAAGCGAACTCTGGGTCACTGGAAGCGTCACCATCATTCTCATCGGCGTGTCTATGGCTGTCTCAATACTTGAAGTGAGCTTACTACCTAGACAGCCGTTTTGGTCGTTACAGACAGGTGCAACATATTAGGGCAAGTATTGCGGCTATGATGTCAAAAATATTGCACGTGTGTGTGATTCCCCCCCAAAATTGTGCGCCTATGATTTTTAAACGTGCTGTCTAAATAGGCAGCGCACTAGGATTTGAGACACAGCATATTGATCACATCACAGAGGCAGCGCGCAAGGGATACAGGAATAATGTGGTCACTTTACTAAACCTCTTCCTCTTCCCGTCTAGATTTTTGTCTGTCTGTGCGTGTCTTCATTTTGTAACTTTCCCCTCAAGCCAAATGCAACACGCTTAAAAATATTCAAATAAGACGAGAATAGTATTTGCTCACCTGAAGCTATAGCATTTGATAAGAAGTGAGTATTTATTATTTAACGTTATGATGAACATTTTTAGCATTGACTCAAGACAGCATTCATACTAGATTATTACTGTTACTAGGACATTTTCGCCACATGACAGCGCTCTTGTGCAGAAAACTGAAGAAGACTGGGATGTGTAGTAGGATTAGTATATTTGATGTTTTATTTTAATTATGTTAGAATATAATGGGATTTTTTTTTTTTTTTAACTGAGCACTTTGGAAACTAAATTTTGCACATTTTAAATGAAGTCATTTGTTGGCCTTTCAAAACAAAATCCAAAACGCACTGAAATTCTGAAATGTCTTAAAATAATTTCAATTTATGTAAATTGTCTTTCTCCAGCAATTGATATTAATATGACTGTTCAAATATCTATTTTCTGTGTTCAGTGAACGCTTGTAAAATATACAGGTTGCATTTAGTCAGTTTTATTCATTTTCAAACAATAGTACAATTTAGTCCACACATGATCCAAAATGAGAAATCTAGTAGTGAAATGGTAAAAATCCAATTAACACTGAAACAAATGTCTATCAGTGGGGTTTTGTACTTAAAGGCATAATTCACCCAAAAATTAAAATTCTGTCATTATTTACTCACTCATGTAACCCATATTTCCTTTTGTGCTCATATGGTTTTGCAAGAACACGAGGGTGATCAACTGAATGTTCTTTTGAGATTATATGGCTCATTAACCTTTCAATAATTCTGTGTGTGTAGTCTAGACTGTTCCTCTCTTCTTGATAACATGCTCCATCGTAGCTGTCTCTGAGGTGTCCAAACTGATCTTGTATTTTGCCAGAATCTTGAGAATGGGCCTAAGCTTCAGCCACCACTGAGTCTTCGGTATACGATGTCTGGAACAGAAACTGACAGTGTGAGCACATGAGGATGCAGTGATAAGGCAGGCTTCACTCATTGAATGACAATGTGTACAATGAAGTGAAACAACGGTAAAATGAAACCGAGGGATCACTCACTCAGAGTCAGTGTCCTCTTTGAGATCAGAGAGAGGCTGGAAGATCATGGCTCTCTTCTTCATTCCCAGAACACAGGCAGAGTCCGGTGTGTTAGCAAAGATACGTCCTGCTCATATGATGATATATGAATGAAAGACATTTATGGAAAGACAAAAATAGAACATTATTCCCACAAACAGGTCAGGTTCATATGGAAGACATTTTCCATGATATACGCTACACTTTGGTGCTCCATTGCTTTTATATGCATTAAAGGTTGTGAGAATTATTAGATATGTTATACTATTTTCTAAGACAAAATTAACCTAACATGAAAAGTAGCTAGTTAAAACACATTCAATCTCATTATCCCCCTCTTAAAATGGTGATTTTGGCCTTTCCCACTTTTTGACTAACCATCAATTGCAAACACAGTCGAGCCATAATTGTGACACCGATATTCAGTTTATTATAGTAAAGCATGTATATGTATATTTTTTCATTATTTATTAATTGAAATATTTTTCAATTATTAGTAGTAGTTGTGATATTTTTTAAGGTGTGTTTATTTAATGTTTGGTTATACACACGTGAACCATAATTGTGTACAAAATTTTGGCAGAAAATATTCATAACTACTTCACATAATATAATATTATTAATATTAACATAATATTCACACTTCACATCACATTTTTTATTTTTTTTTATTTTTTATTTTTTTTTATAAAATGAATACAAAAGACAGCTTGAATGCTAAAACATCTCATTTACATATTTAGTTTGACTTCCTAAAGTTGACCGTCACCATTTTTTAAAAATAAAATCTCTCTCTCTCTCTATACATATATATGTGATATTTCAGTTTTTCTTTTTTAATAAATCTGCAAAAATGTCAACAATTCTGTGTTTTTCTGTCAATATGGGGTGCTGTGTGTACATTAATGAGGAAAAAAATTAACTTAAATGATTTTAGCAAATGGCTGCAATATAACAAAGAGTGAACAATTTAAGGGGGTCTGAATACTTTCCGTACCCACTATATATATATATATATATATATACACACACACATACAGCGCTGCTTGAAAGTTTATTTATTTCTGCATAAATATAACTAGGGTGACTATATGTCCCCTTTTTCCCGGACACGTCCTGGTCAGGATTTGTATATTGCCTAAAATATCCAGGTTTCAAGTCCTGTAAAAGGCAAGTGCTCTGGTTAAAATCCTTTTCCTCAGCCGTCCACTCATTGAAATTACTGTTCACTCACCATGTCTGTAACACTCCTTCAGTTTTTCAGTCAACCACAACACTGCTTTAGCACCCATCTTTGTGCCAAAGTTCCTATCAAATGGTGTAGGGGTTCCACCCTGAAAATACCATGAGAAAAATTTGTAATTGAGCCCAGGCCCCAGAGATAATGACAAGGGAATTCTCAGCTCAGTTATAATGTTAAAAACAAAGAATGCTATCAATATTGTACACACAGACCTGCTGCATGTGCCCAAGCACATTCTTGCGGCAGTCAAAAACTCCCTTGCCCTCTTCTGAGTACAAGTTGAAGATAAAATCTGTGGTGTAGTTTGCATTACATTTCTCATTCCTGAGGGAAAACAGTTTGATGTTATTTAGAGTGCTGGTGCAAGAATTAAATAAGACCAGAGTCATTTGTCTAGATTACTAGAGAAGTTGACTGAATGTAAAACAGAGAGCAAAAAGATGCAGAAACACATTGTGTGACAGAATGACCAACCTAAGGATGAGGCCTCTTTTCACTGTGGTCTTCATTTTCTCCAATAAGTGCTCCACGTTTGTCTACCTCCCAACCAGACATTTAATGGTTAAAAATAAACAAAATGAGATACATTCAATCAAACATCAATTAAACCAAGCATGTTTTACCTCCAGGTCGTGAATACCAAATTGTTCTTCATAGATATAAGCAGCATCAGCCCCTGCAGCCAGTCCTGCCATGGTTGCCAGATATCCACAATATCCCCCCATTGTTTCAATGATGAAAACCCTACGCTTTGTTCCAGCTGCGGATTGTTTGATTCTATCGCATGTCTTAAAAGACACAAAACAGATGCTTACACTTATAGTTGGGGACTTACATGTCTGTGAACTGTATATTCATTTTTATAATATGTGGTTTCTCACAGTTGTGATAGTATTGAGAGCAGTATCAGCACCGATGCTGAAGTCTGATCCAGGAATGTTATTAGACACAGTAGCTGGAATAACAACCAGGGGAATACACAACTCCTCATATTTTTCTCTGGCAGTCACTAATTCCAAACCTCCAACAAAGGCCTAAATAATACAGAGAGAGAGAGAGAGAGAGAGAGAGAGAGAGAGAGAGAGAGAGAGAGAGAGAGAGAGAGAGTACGCAAGAAGGGGAAGCAGAAAGGTGAGGTAGTAGCATGTGGACAAAAAAAATTTTTATTCATATAACACTGCTTTAGCACCCATCTTTGTGCCAAAGTTCCTATCAAATGGTGTAGGGGTTCCACCCTGAAATACCATAAGAAAAGAGATAATGACAAAGGAAATCTCAGCTCTGTTATAATGTTAAAAACAAAGAATGCTATCAATATTGTACACACAGACCTGCTGCATGTGCCCAAGCACATTCTTGCGGCAGTCAAAAACTCCCTTGCCCTCTTCTGAGTACAAGTTGAAGATAAAATCTGTGGTGTAGTTTGCATTACATTTCTCATTCCTGAGGGAAAACAGTTTGATGTTATTTAGAGTGCTGGTGCAAGAATTAAATAAGACCAGAGTCATTTGTCTAGATTACTAGAGAAGTTGACTGAATGTAAAACAGAGAGCAAAAAGATGCAGAAACACATTGTGTGACAGAATGACCAACCTAAGGATGAGGCCTCTTTTTACTGTGGTCTTCATCTTCTCCAGTAAGTGCTCCACGTTTGTCTACCTCCCAACCAGACATTTAATGGTTAAAAATAAACAAAATGAGATACATTCAATCAAACATCAATTAAACCAAGCATGTTTTACCTCCAGGTCGTGAATACCAAATTGTTCTTCATAGATATAAGCAGCATCAGCCCCTGCAGCCAGTCCTGCCATGGTTGCCAGATATCCACAATATCCCCCCATTGTTTCAATGATGAAAACCCTACGCTTTGTTCCAGCTGCGGATTGTTTGATTCTATCGCATGTCTTAAAAGACACAAAACAGATGCTTACACTTATAGTTGGGGACTTACATGTCTGTGAACTGTATATTATTTTATTTTATAGTGTGTGGTTTCTCACAGTTGTGATAGTATTGAGAGCAGTATCAGCACCGATGCTGAAGTCTGATCCAGGAATGTTATTAGACACAGTAGCTGGAATAACAACCAGGGGAATACACAACTCCTCATATTTTTCTCTGTAATTCCATAATTCCAAACCTCCAACAAAGGCCTAAATAATACAGAGAGAGAGAGAGAGAGAGAGAGAGAGAGAGAGAGAGAGAGAGAGTATACGTAAGAAGGAAGCAGAAAGGTGAGGTAGTAGCATGTGGACAAAAAAAATTTTTATTCATATTGTAAGTAGTATTTGGAATTTTCTCACCTCAAACCCTCCAATGATAACCAGGGCGTGGATGTTAAACTTGGCTATATTCAGACTGATCTCTTCAATCATTCTAGCTGGCAGTGACCTCCAGAGAGAGACAAAAACAACAACTAAATGCTGGAACTCACACTACATACACTACCATCCAAAGGATTTTTTTGTTCACCAAAGCTGCATTTATTTGATCTAAAATACAGTCATAGGCAGAAATCCCGAGGTGGGGGGTTGTCCACCCTAAAAATATGATTAAAAACCAGGCTGTGTATTGTAAATAACAATGTTTTATACTTCAAATAAATGCTCTTGAGAAATTTTATGTTTTGTCCCCCCCCAACTGTTAGACGAAATTTACGCCCATGAATACAGTAAATATTATTGCAATTTAAAATAAATGTTTTCTATTTTAATATATTTTAAAATGTAACTTATTCCTGTTATAGCAAAGCAGCCATTATTCCAGTCTTCAGTGTCACATGATCCCTCAGAAATGATTTTAATATGCTGAGTGATTTGGTGCTCAAATTTTTTTTTCAAATTTTTATCAATGAAAGGAAAACTGTTGTGCTTTTTGATAAACAAAGTTCAAAAGAATATTTTCACATTATAAATGTCTTGTACTGTTACTTTTGTAAATGTGTCCTTGCCGAATAAAAATATTAATTTCTTAAGAAAATCCCTTACTAATGTAGTTGAGTTGGAATATTAAAGCACTATTAAGAGATATAAAATGAATTCATATGAATTAATGAACAGTTCTTTTGTACCTCTTGGTTCCTAAATTAGAACCGCCTTTGCCTGTCCAGCCTCCCACATAGCCCCATGTCATTGGTTCAATCTGTGAAAAGCAGGAGACAGAGATGAAATTGAATTGATGCATTCCTTCATATAGACTCATGGATTCCTCGTGTATGTTAAATACTTTACAGTTCCGTGTGCAAGTCCATCAAAGCCGTCATGTACAGCTAGCATGCTGTGTCCTTGAAGGATACCGATCCTGACGGCTGAACGGACTGCTGCGTTCATTCCTGCACATGGAGCTCCCACGTTCATGATAGCTATGTTTATATTACTCTAAAGAAAGAGTGAAAGATGGAAGGAGGAAGATGTTAAAAAAGCACAATTTATAAATATATAGAAGAGGTAGAGAAATTCATACATATCTGGAGTAAAGCCTAACAAAAAGGATAAACTACATGATAAAATGATGCTTGTTATATACCTTCACGTCTGGGGCGGTCACATGGGCCAAGAGTTTATACGTGTTCCAATTGTTCTCAAAACTCCTGCAGAAGAGAAACAACAAATCAATCACAAGATCAGTTTGTTATAACAAAAAGAAAGAAAGAAAGAAAGAAAGAAAGAAAGAAAAGGATAAAGAACTCACTTTCCCCTGAGCTTAACAGCTTCCTCAAATCTGCCCTCTGCCATAGCTTTGGTTACTTCTTTTGTCTAAAAAATTTAATAAGAAGATGTATTACAAATTGAATCACATAACAAGGGTACAAATCAACAAACCAAACATTTGGATCAATATGTTTATGAAAAAAATGAATAAATGAATAATAAAAATATATTGAAAATGATACAAAATTACACTACCATTCAATAGTTTGGGGTCAGTAAGATTGATTTTTTTAAATTAATACTTCTACCCAGCTAGGATGCATTAAATTGATCAAAAGAAACAGAATTTTCTATTAATCAAGGAATCCTGAGAAAAAATGTTTTTCCACAAGAAAATTAAGAGAAAGAAAATTTCTTTCAAAAACATGAAAAAATCTTACTGACCCCAAACCTAAACTGCAAATTATATAAAACTATAAAAGAAACCCCAAACGTATTCACTTAAATTAACTTTACTTAAATTTATACTAAAATTATATAAATAAATAAAAACTTATCTGTACATATCTGATTTGGGAAAACAGCAGTTTGTTAAAATACCAAATTGAAACCAAGGCAGGATGTGTCTGTGCCTGCTCACCACTTGCACACACTCCATAAGAGGCAGTCGAACAGCCATATTTCCAGACAGACTGACCACACATGCAGGGGTGTCAGGAGTGGCCTCTAGCAACGCCATCACAGCCTCCACCCCCATCCTACTGCCCTGAGAACAAGACAGACAGGGAAGACCTATTGGCAGCATGTTACAGATGCATCAAATAAACAAAATCTGAATTCTAATCATACCAAGATTCTGTCAAAGGCTGAAGGTGTTCCTCCTCTCTGCACATGACCCAAAATAGTGGCGCGTGTGTCAAAGCCGAGCTTCTTAGTGACCAGCTAAACAAACACAAACAATTGTGAAGAATTAGCCATGCCATGTTAAGTACCAGCTGATAAAAAAATCCCAATAATCATATTTTTATGCTTACGTTCTTGATAATATCACAGGTGATAGGTTTGCCATGGCGATCCAAAGCACCTTCTGCCACAATGATGACATTCAAACGATTGCCAATGCTTCTTTGCTGCACAATAAAGACAGCATAATGACATTAGACAGAATATAATGATGATGTTGACTATGATGATTAAAAAAGGCAGTGTATAGATCTTACATAAGTAAGGTAAGTAAGGTAACATCTTACATAGGTAAGTCTCCTGCACAGATGGTCCTCCCATCCTTCATCTGGAGGCATTTCAGGAATAAAAACCCAGTCAGCGCCACACGCCAGGGCAGTGATTAAGGCCAAATATCTATATATACACATAAACATATACATACACTCTTGGTTAGAGGCAGAACATAAGAGAAACACTGCATTGTGATAACCAGGGTAATTATAGAACTTTTAACTAAAATTAAAATAAAAAAAATATGCTAGAAATAAAATAAATTTGAACTGAAATAAAATATAATTTTCAGTTAGTATAACTTGATGTACTAAAATAACTAAAACTAATTAAATAAAATAAATAATGACTAATAAAAATGACACAAACACAACAAAATTACTAAAACATTAATTAAAATTACAATTTAAATACAAAAATGAATAAACTCAAAAAAAAAAAAAAAATATATTTTAAAAAAAAACAAAATAATTTTC